ATAAACTAGTGATTAAAATAAAAATAAATAAAACTAGAGGCTCGAAAAAAATAGCATAGATTTCATTAAGTGGCTGAAAAATAAGGTTACAAAGAATGGGGACCAAATCAGCTATTATCCCTGCTCTCAAAAACACGTTGACCCCCCTTTGTAAACGACGTTGTTTTAATTAGGGCATATAAACCCAAAACCGACTTTTTTTCCCTCATTTGCCTCACACTTAAAAAAACAGAAGAGAGAGAGTTGATAACTCTCTCAACTTTTCCCTTATCGGGGAAAGAAACCGCCATCCATCGGCGGCAGCCGCGACGATTCACGACAGAGCCCACAGTGGTCGGAGGGTACAAACACCCTAAAATGATCCTCTCCTCCCCCTCCACCCAAAACCCAACTTACTTTAACCTAAATCCCCAACATCAACCCTAGATCTAACGATTACTTTTCGAAAAACAAAGTGGAACTCGACGACCTTCGGACTCCCACAGCTTCGAGCAGAGGTAAGAACCATCTTTATCTATTTCTCTCTTTATTTTGTTTGGTGTTTGGTTCAAATAGAAGGTAGGTTATTGATCTTTTCGGTTATCCTTTTCTTCGAATGGGTTTCCCATTCCCTCTGTTTTTACTTTTCACCCGAATGTTTCTGTATTTTCTCTCTCAAAACCCCCCTCACCGACTGGTTCTTCCCTTGATATCTCTCTGGTTTTTTATTTTCTCCAAAGCCCCTGAATCAATCCCCTCTGTCTTCTCTTTCTTCTTTTTATCTTTGATGCATGTGTGATTTCTGTGAGTTGTCTGATGGGAGTGGTCTTGGATATTTTAGTGGGGTTTGATATGATTTATGCTTGTGTTTTCTTATTGTTGTTGATGATATTGGTCACTGTGGGTACAGGCAGCAACAACAACAAAGAAGCAAGCGGCGACAGAAGCATGATATCCCTAGGGTTAGGTTTCAGAAACCCTAGGGGCCAGGTAGGATCCTGGGTCGGGCTTGAATCATGCCATTTGGGTCTGTTAGTGGCTTCGGGTCGGGTTGAGTTGGGTTGGTTCGAGTCTGTTGAGTCTTGGGTTGGATGTTGTAATCGGGCTCTGAGATTGGGCTTCAAGTCTGTTGGGTTAGCCTCATGGTGGGCTTGTAACAGGGCTGGGATTAAGCCTGCAAAATGTAATATGTAATTTAATTATTAATAATTAAAATAATATAATAATAATAATAAAAATATAATAATAAATAATATTTTTGTAGACCCGGACAAAAACATGTGTCTACAAAGTAATATCATTAAGTAATTGTTCACGAGCCAGATGACAAGTCATAGCATATTGAGGAAGGCTGGAGCGACCGATTAAGGAATACTTCCCTACCACAATAGGTGAGTAAACGTTTGGTCCATCCAGTGACTCTAGAAGTCACCTTGTCTCGTAGGTATCCAAAAGTTTAGGATATATTTACCTTCATAATATATATTTGGACAAGAGCTTTTTAATGAGGTCGTTTTTTTATTAAAAAAAGTTAGTATTAGATTAAAGTAGTTGGCTTCTCTCGAAAGTAAAGACTCGGACTTGAATTGGATCGGATTGGGTTGCACTATTAAATACGACAATCTTATACCCAGAGAGTGTCATCTCCTTTAGTAGCCTTTTCTTGGTTACAAAGATAATAACCCTGAGCTGCGCTAAGGAACAGAGTCTACAAAAATCTCATAGAAAAAGCATCACAACAGAGAAACATGGAGGCACCAAAGACGATTCAGCATGAAATTGGAGGAGTCCAGAATGACGCTCTCCGGTTTGGTCTCCACGGCGTTAAGAGCGACCTCGTCGGATCTCACCCTCTCCAATCTGCTTATGAATCTGTAATATGTCCCCCTTTTTGTTTCTCTGGAACACATAGAGAAGGGAATTTAGTGTATATTATTCTTTTGATTATGTATTCTTTTCAAATCTTTTGAATCTGTAATCCGTCCCCCTCTCCAATCTTTTGTCTCCACCAATACTTTATTACATATGTTTAAAAAAGTAGTAGGTTAGGGTATTTATTATTGAAAAAATGAAAAGAGATGATGTGTAGTTCTTATGAAATTAAAAATCGTAGTATCTATGGGTTTTTGTTTTGAAGATTTTTTTAATTAGGGTTTGAGTGTAGTATTATGATTGGAATACTATTTGATTTTATTTTAGGCAAAGGAAACGGAGGAGGTGATGAAGAGGAAAGGCCTGGCCAATCTTTATGGAACAGCATTCCCACTTAAAATGGATATCGATAGGCAAATCCTCTCACGGTATGACCTCAATTTTTTGTGTCTTCATAAGGAATTTCTGCACCTTTTAACTCAAATTTTGAGCTGCTGATGCTTAACAAATTTGGTTTAGGCTTGTCTACATAATTAGATTTTTGTCTTCCGTGATGGATAATTATCAGCGCTTTTACCCTGCCGGTTCTTTAATGGCATAAACGTGGAGATTAAAGTTGGAAGTGGATAAGAAGAAAGAACTTGAATAATTATTTTTAGCTCAAACCGTTGAAGAAAACTAAAAGGGGTTTAATGGTTCTTTTTTTTATAGGAATAGGAGGTCTCGTTAGGAACCTCCCTCATAGTTGACTCAGGATGGCAAATTGAGGGAGGAAAAGAGCACCTCAGTATATTAATAAACCAGGATTACATAAGATACACCTAACATTCTGACCCTGAATAACACAGGATAGACATAACACTCTAACCCTCGAAAATAAAACATGACATTAATACAAATAGCGATGGGAAACAAACAATCTATATTATATTTATAGAGTTTCTTGAAAAATATAAAGTGAAATTGCCATCCAAGTGAAAAAGATTTAGAAATTAAGTACTGATGAAGAATATAAACAACGTGTATATGGCAAATGCATTAAGCAAAAGATTAGGGAAATTAGAAACTAACAATCTATATTATTATAGAGTTTCTACCCTTTCTTTAGAACCCTTTATTCTCGTTTCGTGGCTTTCCTTGTCATAATGCTCAATCGATAAACTTGATCTTTTCTTTAACAATTTACCTTTTATTCAATGTATGACTTTTAGAAATACTATCTTTTCTAGGCATAGTTAGTAATTTGTATCCTCTAAGATTTCTTCGCAATTTCTAGTCTCACTAGGGTCTCGCACTCCTTTACTCTCTATTTCAAGGATTTCTTGCAAACTCTTAAGCACTTAAAAGGTACGTGTTGGTACTTTTTGGGTACAAATGAATAGACCATGACAATAATATAACAAATGAACCAAATGATGAAGAAGAGAGTACTTATGTGTAAGAAGCACATCTTCGTGTCATATCCAAATTAAGAATGGATTGAACTAGTATTATGGTTTTTATTCTAGAAGATTTCTGCACCTTTTTTTTTAGTTTCTCTGTTTCTATTTGACATGGGAAGAAATATCAAACTCTGCTGATGCAGGTGTACATGTGTATTATTTTACTGTGTTTATGTTTTTTTTCATGTTATAATCATGTTTAAGGTGTGTATTTATAAAACTTTTGATTTTGACACATTAATGAACCATTTTGTATAGGCTTGACGCATTTGCAGTATCATGTATTGGTTTCTTTATGTTGGGAACATAGATCTAAATAGTAATTAAATTTTTTTCTTACTTGTTTTAGAGAGGCTATGGATTTTGACTAGACAGTAGAAAACCCCAATTCCCTGTAGAGTGAAACTAAGATTACACCAAGATGTATATGGTGTATGGTGTCTTTAGTGGCAATATCAGAATCAGAATTCACTGCTCATTGTCTTTTATGTATATTCTTTTGAAAACTTTGCAGGTTCCAGCGGCCATTGCTCCCATCTTCAATGCTAGGGTTGGAAGCTTTGACGGGAACTTTAGATGATTTTGGTTTTGAGGATTATCTGAATGGTATCACAATACATGCTAAATTACAAAATACTCCCTTTTTCTTGTGACTTTTTGTTGTACATATTTTTGTGGGTTAGCAGATGTTTAAAATTAGTGATGGTTGGTTGCAGATCCTCGAGAGTTGGAGACTGTACGGCCACTGGACTTGCACCATAGCATGGAAGTTCGTCTCGGTCTCTCCAAGGGACTGTCCTAGTTTTATGTGATTTTTTTCACTGACTACAATGTTATCACCTGAAGTCACTGCTGAACTTCCATTTTTTTTTCTTTTTAATGAATTTAGCCGTTCTTCCCTTTGCAAACTGCAGCATCAACTTTTTATTGTTTGGAGTTTTTGGTTCAAATTTATAAAATAGACTTTGGCAATAGTTAGTTTTAGTACTGTACAAGGAGATTAATTTAACCTTGGTTCTAAAAAACAGCGCGACCATGTCGGGTCGGAATTCATCTGGTCTGGATAAGATTTCCATCCCCAACGATGAACTGCAAGGATTTTCTATGATGGTGTTGGATCTACTTTTTAATTCTACATTATGTAAATGATTCAAACTCATATATTAAATAAAAAATAATGTTAATTACTGAAGGCCCTATGAATCTTTTAAGGTTTGTGGTGAGGAACCAATGTTGCGATTTAATCCACATGCATCCCAAATTGGGTAATTACTCAATTGCATCCTCTTATGTTATTATTAATCAGGACACTACCAACCCGTCCGACTTCCTAGAGACTTTGAATCCATTTTTCGGTGCGTGGCATAATAGGCGTATCTGGCTGTATAGCAAGTTATGGTCGAAAGTCCTTTTCATAGAATCTCCTGCAGAAAGTTGTTCTGGATGGTGACGGCAGATTCCTACATGATTGGAAAGGGCAGGGATGTCCAAAGGAGCAGTCACCCTTAAAATTTTCAAATTTTTTTTTATATTTAAATATTCTGTATATTTTTATTGATAATTTGATTTCATAAGTCCTGAAATTATAGTAGCGTCCATCCTTGGAAAAAGGCATTGTTTGGTATAACAAAAGGATATAATGTCTTCGATCATGCACATATAAATATATAGGGATAAATAACAGCTTACTTAAATCCACACTTCTTCCCATTGATATATATATATATATATAAACTATTGTCAATACAGCTTTAGTGTGATTTCCAACAATCATACCAATGATAACCTACCCCTCTTTTCCCCTTCTCAAATGCTTTATCCCTGCACTATTCACAAAGCAGATTAGATGTCTTTCTTTTTATTTTTGGATTCTCTGTTCTGCTGGTTTTCATCAACAAAAAAACCTTCCGAATAAAGATTAAGCCGTTTCATCGAACACCATAACCTGGAAATGCAAACAAAATAGATGGATAAATTTAGATGAGAGATTTAGGTTACAACAATGAATAGACAAACTATTCTCATTTTTGTATAGAGCTCAAAGCACTACTTTGTCATCATTAGATCAAATTAAGCCAGGAGCTGGTAAGTTCCCAAATGGAAAATAAAAGTGAACCATAAACATCATCAAGCAAGATGGCAATTTTGCTGCATGGCTTATCATGCATACGACCTTAATTCAAAGTTTGATCTTTTTTTAAGAATCTAAGATTATTATAAGGTAATATTTGTTCAGAATCTTTCTAAGCCATTGACAACACACAAACACACCCTGCAAACGTAGTGCTCGAACCCATACCTCTGGTAGAATAACACTATCTTTTACCACTAAAGTCACTCGATAGGTTCAAAGTTGGATAATCTCTGAATACCTCTAATTTACCCATATACTCAACATCCGGCAAGTGATAAACAATATCCCCCATTCAGTTTTTGATACAACAGGATCTTTCTACTGCTAGAAATCTACATCATAGAATGTAACCTAAACCACGGAGCTCACCAAGCAACATCATTTTTTGAGCCTAAAATGTATTATAACCGTTGAACCCATTTGTCGAACCCATTGAGTGGTCTTAGTGGTTAACAGAAGTGTTGTTCTCCCTTAAGATCCTGGGTTCGAGCAGCTACGTTTGCAGGGTGTGTATGCATTGTCAATGGTTAAGAAAGATTATGAACAAATACTACATTCATCACCCTACTATTTAAAAAAAATGTAAATAAGATAAGCCTATCGATACTTAGATGAGACCATCGAAACTAATAATCAACAGTAAATACAATATTAACAGCAGATATTTACACGACTCCGATCTACATTTATATAAAACCAACCATCAGAGTTCTGAACAAAGAGGATGAGCGGGAATAGGGGAAGCATTAATCAGTTTTAACAAGTTAAATTAGATAATTCAGTTCAGTTTATTCAGTTCCCGTATTAATTGGTTAGGGAAAACAATTTGTTCATCTAGTTCAGTCAGTTATTGCTTTTCAAAGTCGCTAGATAATAGATCAAACTAACCAGACCTATTTTTTTGTTTATATTTACAAAATATGAATAACACAATTTACATAATAATTTAAAAGTATATATACCAAAGTACAACCATTAATGTGTAGAAGTAAACGAAGAAATAAAAAGCACATGCAGTTTTACCATATCAACATTGAAAAGAATATCAAAGGCAACCAAAAAAGCCTCTAAACTTGAGCATACTAGTAAATTGCAAGTCTAGAAATAAGAAACAGCTAATCAAGCCGAATAAAATGCAACCACAATGCAGTTGATCGATTATATGTAACAAAGGAAATGAAAAGGCAAATTAGTGCAAGAAAAAAGTTACCTTGCCACAGACCGGACAGTTTTCACTCTCCCATCCATTCATAAATGCAACCGAGATTAAAATGGTGGGAACATTTTGTTATTATCTTGCGATTCTCTGGTATATTCTGCACCATAGGTGACATTGATAAGATTGAAAGGAAGCTAATGTAGCCATTAAAAGCCCAATCTAATATGATTAGTAGTACATTTTTTTATAGAAATTCTTGTTTTAAGATAATGATGTAGCAAAAACAATGCATAGTTAGAATAAGCACCCCCACCTACAGACGAAAAAAAATCATTTAAGCCTCTACTTTCATTAGAGCCAATTAAGCCCTCCATATAATATTTTTTCTGTTAAGTAGAGAAGCGAGTTTTTTATGGACGAATGGTTCAAGGTTTAACAAGTTAATGGGTAAGCGATTGCAATTAGAGTCGGTTTTGATTTGATTAAAAAATTAAAAAAAGAAAAAGAAATCATGGAAATAGGGATGCATGGGTTTATGGAGGTTATTAAGATGAATAGGGATTTTAATAGGAAGGGTTATGTGAATTTGGGTTTATTGGGGGGTTAAGCTCCAAATTTCAAATGCTTAAAATTGTATAGTTTTTTCTTTCCTTACAATTGTTTGATTTTTCAGAAAAACTCGTGAAGAAAGCAAATGGATTCAATTCTTGCTATATTGTCAAGAGTGCAAGGTGCACTCTTGAGTCTTGGCCTTAAACCCTTATGTTGCCTCAGATGATGTGTGAGAAAAGTGCTACCTTGAGTAAAGTGCAATATGCATATGTGAGTTTTGTAACATATATATATATAATAAACTCTAAAGCGAAGTCTAGTTTGTGTACAAAACATGCACTCTTTTTTTTTAATATGCACAATTTTATGATCAATGTTTGTTGTTGAATGCTCAAATTATTAAGAATAGAGTTTGATATATAGTTTCTTGCTAGCAAAGGTATATCAAAGGAACAATATGAAAATGGAAAGGGGTGGTCATGATTTTTGGATAATGACAGTGATGAGAAGGGATGACATAGTGGGGATAGGGAATCTAGTATCGATGGTGAAATGGTGGTACTATTGGAACTATGAGAAACAAATTGGGTCATTTTGACATTGAAAAAAAACTAGATGGAGCGCTAAATTGACTCTAACAGAAGACAAGAGGCTTAAATGACACCTATACAAATGGAGGACTTATTTTATCATTAAAATTAAACTAATTGTAAGTTCCCTTAATCAAGGTTGTTCAATTGTCAACTCATTAGAATCTGAATCCAATTAACAGCACAAGCATCCAAAAGAGAGTCAAGAAATAGCAGAAATTTAGCATTTGAATCCAACCCTCCTTCAGAGTTCTAGCAAATCTTAGCCTATTGAGCAAGTTCTAACAAAGTATCACTTCATAATACAGTGGCTATAATAAAGCACCAATCAATTTGAGAAAAAGATTTACCTTCAAGATAAGTTGGACAGACTTCCTCCTCTTCTTCAGCAGATGAATATGACCCAATTCCAAGGCCTTTGCTGATGAGAATTTCTGTGAGGATTTAGAAAGCTTCTCTTTCGAGCCTTGTTCAAAGGCATTCCATTTGCCCCGTACACAAAGATCCCGAATCTATTTTGAGCTCTTAAAGGCTCTGATCTTCGTTTGAATGACTTGAACCCTTCTCATGTCTTGAAACAAGACCATCACGTTGCAAGTGGAAATCTAGTGTCAGCATCATAAGGCAAGGGCCTTGGAGGAGATTGGCACGTGTCAGAAAGTGAGTTTTCTAGAGACACAGAAGAGAGAACGGATCCTGTCCCTTGAATAGACGAAGGGATAGGACGCAATTCCCCTCTTTGGAACAATGTGGTATACTACAATTACAGGGACAAATAAAACCAAAAGTGAAGGATCAAAAAGATGGAACCCATAAATCGAAGGAAGATAAAAATGTTTGATCATGTTGAGACATGTAACACCAAACCTCCTCCCGATTATCTTCCACGTCCCTACCATTAACGAAGCACTCTATTCATAATGTAAACAATCAACTGATAATTTCATAAATTAGGCTAATTAGCTTAGTAATTAATGGTCCACAACTAAATTAGATATCTTTTCACCTAAAAGCCAATCGATATAAATGCTGACGGAATTTCCTAGATTGAGAAGTACAGAAGTACAGTGTTGACACTATAGAAGTTTTCACTTGCTCCAAACAAATTAGAGGATCTTTTAAAACAAAATGTATTTAGACACAGGCAATCGAGTTACCTTAATCTATTTTATTGTACAAACAGTAACTTGTCACGGTTTCAACACTAATTTATTATAAATGTCATAGACTAGCTTCCTAATTTAGGAATATTATGTAGGATCTTTGTAAATATTCTACTAGTTAGGATCTCTAATTTTAATGGATTAAGAATTACTCCTAGAATCAATTACTTACCTAGCGTAGCAGTTTCCTAAGATAACGCAGCAGTGTGTATATTTAAATCTTGTATTTTTCTACAAACAGTACGATCATATAGAGTGAAAAACACTAGTTTTGACATGGTATCAAAGCTAGTCCAACTCTTCATTTCAAGTCCAGTTACCCGCACTTAAAAATCCTACTTAGGCTTTACACTCCCTTCAAAGAACCAAGTATCTACCAACAAAATATGGGTGATGAGACCGATTCAAGTAGAGTTGAAAACCACTCAAGGAGGCACAATAAGCGAAGGAAGTCATCCAATCCTATTAGTTTTTTTTTTATAGGACTTGAAGGCCTCACTAAAACCCCCTTCATGATTGAGGAACTCAAATGAGTTCCTTTATCAGAGGAAGGAGGAAAAGAGTGCCTTATACTTCATTAATAAGATGCATAAGATTACAACATCAATAAAAGACCTTTGCAAACAAACGTAAAAACCCAAAAAAAATACCCCTAAACACACTGTAATTAACCAATAGCAGACTTAGCCAACCCATCAGCCTCAATATGGTTGTCCTTGCAACCCATCTAATACCCTCCACTTCTTTAAGCTTAACTGCTATATCCCTGACAATACAGACAAAAAGATGGGGACACAGTTCCATTCTTAACCCACTCCACTACCAATTTACAGTCTGTTTTTATAATAAACCGACCCTTAATTCCTCGTCTCACTGCATCAAAGAAATGTAATCCCTTCTAAACCCTTTAACTCCATCAAAATAGGCGGACCCGGACCAGTAGCTTCCATAAAAGAGCCTAAAAAAAGGGAAGGGTAACTGATAAGAGAATCCATAGAAACAACCGAGTCAACAAACTTAGCTAAGAACCAAGATGCAAGCCTTACTCTTTTTTTTATAAGATTAGAAGGCCTTATTAAAAACCTCCTTCTTGATTAATGGATCTTGAAAAGAAGCTCCTTAATCATTGGAAGGAGGAAAAGCGCCTTAGATTTCATAAAAGAAAAATAAGATTACAACCTCGATAAATCTCTTCGAAATAACCCTTACAACAGTCTATAAATCCCACCGAACAGGAATCAAATGCTAAACTGAAACAGCAAACAACATAAAAATTAGCCTATCCAGCCTTTGCTAAGCATCGGCGTCCATATTAGCTGACCTAGCAACCCAATTTATAACCCCCCAAAGATCTAAGACCCAATTTATAACCCCCCAACGATCTAAGATTGTCAACTATATCACTAACAACGAAAGCATACACAATTGGGCATGAATTGACATTGTTGATCTAGTCTACTGCAACCCTGCTATCACTCTCAACATCACCTATCTTTGACCCTCCCTTGAGCAGAAGCATATAATGAAATACCCCTCTGAATAGCTTTAAGTCGATCATAGTCGGAGGTCCGGACCAGCCGACTCTTGAAAAGAACCTAGGACTGAACCTGAATGATCCCTCCAAATACCTCCTATACCCGATTTCTTCCAGTCACTACTAACGGCTGCGTCCACATTCAATTTAAAAAAACCAGAAGGGGAGGTCCCAAGGAATGAGGAAGACTTCATAGAGCTGTAGGGCGAGTAGGAATCTGCTAATGAAGGATCCATAATCAGGAATCCTATGAATAGAAACGTCCTTGTGCTTAGCTAGAAACCAAGAAGCCAGCCTAACCTCGTGATAAGAAAAATAACTCTAACTGATCAAGCTTTCCCCCTTCAAAGACAATAAAAATTTCTGGCCTTCCAAATGGTCCAAATGATAGACCCAGGAATGAAAGTCCCAAATAGAAGAATTTGATTTCAACTCATCCCAAGCAGTAAGAAGGTTTTTGCATCAACAGGAAACACATAACTAAATCTCCAAAAATTATAAAACTTGTACCACAAAGCCCATGCAACCGAACATGTAAAGAATAAGTGCGTGGAAGTTTCCTCAACCAATTACAAAGAGGGCATAAATCATCCTCGATACCTTGAACCCCTCTTTTAATCAGTTCGGATTTAACAGCTAGCTTGCCAAGCACAACCTGCCACATTAAAGATTCAACTCTAGGGGTACCAAACCTCTCAAATAATGTTATTCCAGAGCAAACATCATCTGACCCTGAAGCACAACTTTAATACAGAACTGACTGAAAAAACACCATCCCACTGCCTTTCCAAGTAAATCACTGGAATCTTTAGACAAAAAATAGGAGAGATGAAGTCACCAAGTTACCATTGTTAACTACACAAACTTCGAAACTTAGAGCCGAAGGAGTCTTGTTTGTAATGATTGTTAACCACTGATCTCTAAAGCCAAGAAGATTGAGGAGGAACCTTGCTATCAAACAGTAACCTTGAAGAATCAATGTTGTATTTGCTACATATAAAATTCCTCCAAACAGAGTGTCTCTCATTTGCAAAATCTCCAACACCATTTCCCTAGCAATGCTCTATTCATACTAGTCAGGTTCCGACTCCCAGACCACCCTCGTTCTTAGGTTACATACATCATCCCATTTAACCCAGTGAATCTTCTTTGAGCCATTTCCCCCTCCCCCTCCCCATAAAAAATTAGACATGATCGAGTTTAGAGCCTTAAGGATTGAAATTGGAATCTTGAACATAGACAAGAAATACGTAGGCAGTGAGGACAGAATCGATTTGATCAAAACCAGGCTCCCTGCTAATGAAAGTGTAGCAGCCTTCTAACCCGCTAATTTAGTATTAAAATTCTGCACCACCGGTTCCCAAATAGCAGATGCATTCTTAGTTGCCCCTAATGGGAGACCTAGGTAATTAGAGGGAAACTCCCAACCGAACAACCAATAGAAGCTGCCAGGTCTGAACCTCCTCTTGGGAAAATTAATCCCAAACAAACTGCTTTTCTTTAGGTTAAGTTGCAGCCCTGACATAACCTCAAAAACTCTGAGCACCCTCTTCACATTCATAATCTGTGTTTTCGAAGCTCCACAGAAGATAATTAAATCATCAGCAAACTGTAAATGTGTGAGCTTGAAAGACCCTTCCTCCTTGCCACCTGTCAAACCAGAAAATAGTCCTTCAGAAACAGCCCGCAGTATTAATAAATTCAACAACTCCCCTACTAGATTAAATAACAAAGGTGAAAGTGAACACCCTTGTCTTAGTCCCTTGGCCATCGAAAATTCCTCGGTTGGAGACCCATTGACTAACACTGAAATGGAGGCAGTAGAGACACATTTCCTGATCCAACTAATCCAAGTCGAACCAAATCCCATTTTTTCCATCACCTTGAATAAGATAGGCCAATCAATCGTGTCATAAGCCTTTTTGAAATCTACTTTAAAACACAACCCTTTAGCCCTTTCTTCCTCCAATAATCAATGCCCTCGTAGCAATGAGGAGCAATCCAAAATTTGCCGACCGGGTATAAAAGCAAATTGTGATTGGCTGATGATATCTCCCATACAGCTTCTAATCCTCCTTGACAGACACTTGGAAAGAATCTTGTATACACCTCCTACTAGACTAATAGGTCTATAATCATCTAAACTTCCAATGTTAGAGCCCTTAGGAATAAGGGTGATAAAGGTGTGGTTAATACCATGTTCCCAATTTTCTCCCCTATGGAATCTGTGAAAAAAACTGCATGATGTTACCTTTAAGTACAGACCAAACCTTTTAAAAAATCCCAAGTTCAATCCGTCGGGCCCCGGAGCTTTATTACTATCGCAAGACTTTAAAGTCTCCCAAACCTCCTCCTCTGAAAATTCCTTCTCTAAAAAAATGTTTTGATCCACGGAAATTCTAGGAAACGTCAACCCAATGTCTTCCACATCCAAAGTAGACCGATTATTGAAAATATTAAAAAAGTGCTCTTTAACAGTGGCCTTAATTACAACTGGATCATGAGTAATATTTCCCTCAATTAACAAAGCATTCAACGCATTACGTTTTCTTCTAACTGAAGCGCAAGTATGGAAGAATCGAGTGTTTCGGTCCCCATCGTTAATCCACTTCTTTTGGAATTTGATACCAAATGTTCCTCAATTCTAAGGAGTCTCCACAACTCTGATCTACAATTACGTAACTCCTCGATTTTCCCCTGAACCGAGCTATCCTACAACATCTGAACGTCCTCCTCTAACTTGTGAATTCTCCTTTCTAAATCTAAGATGAGGCTCCCAGAAATTGATTTTTCTGCCCTGTCCAATTCTTAATGGCAACCTTAGACTTCTTTAAAACACTTAGGATTCCAGCTTTTTCCCATCCTTCTTGCAATCTGCTATAGTATGACAAACCATTTCCTCAAAACCTTCTTCCTCCATCAAATAATTAAATAGTCTGAAAGGTTTTTTCCCCATCAACTCCGCCATCTTGTAAAGAATAGCATTATGATATGAAATAGATTTAGGAATAAGTGACTGAATTATCTCGGAAAACCATCCAAAATTGTCCGTCCACCAAAAACCTGTCCAACCTAATAAAAGTCGGATCATCTTGGTTATTGCATCAAGTGAACCTCCCCCATTCAAAGGCAGATTAATTAGATCTGTTGACTGAATAAACTGAGTGAAAATCCTCATTGAAAGTCTGTTCTGAGCTCTGCCCACCTTCTCATCCTCACACAAGTAGACATTAAAGTCCCCTCCAACACAAACCGACAGATCCTGTCCAGTAATGAACACGCTCAGTTCTTCAAAAAAACTTTCTTTTTCTTCATCCACTGAGGGTCCATAAACATTAATGAGAATACTTCTGAACTGATTAAATCTGAATTTCCCTATAACCGCAATGAATCTTCTGTTAATACTGTGATTTTCCATTTCAAACACATTTTCATCCCAACAAAATAATAACCCCCCTAAAGAACCAGTAGCTGGAGATTCAATAACCCCCTGAAAAATATTCAATCCCTTCCTTCTCAAAAAGACCTGTGGATGTTTTCTGTGTTTAGTTTCTTGTAACCAAAGAAAAGAAGGATGATAGTTGGTAATCTCTGAACTGCTCTTTGTTTCTCTCTATTTCCCAAACCCCTGACATTCCAAGAAATTATAGCTAGTTATCCTTCATAAAAACTGATGAATAATCTAGTTTCCCCAAAATGGCAACTCAGTTGCCACCTTCAAACCTTTCTCCAGCTCAATGATTTTATCCAAGAAAGCTTCCTTCCCCTGTCTAAAAGAAACCCCCAGAATCTGACTAACTTGCCATGTAGCTACTGCTTCATCCAAGATTTCCGAGAAACCTGAAGAAGATGCTGTATAAATATTGACATGTTCTAAAGCTTCTCTAACTAGAATTCTTCTTGCCCTCTCTTAGAAGTGTCAGAATTGTAGATAGACAAATGTTTTTCCTCAACACCACCCTATGACTCTTCAACCAAACTCCTGGCACCAGCTTTATCCACTAAATTGGAACCTCACTGCCCCGTAAATTAGACTCTGTTGTTGTAGTAATCTGGAGAACCGTCGTATAAGCCTATTCATTAGCCTTCTTTAGACCTATCACATCCTCTGTAGCATTATTTTCTTTTTGATCATTCCATACCAGTAATTCCTCTCCTTACATCTTCTGTAGATCTTCTAAAGCTAGCCATTTCCCTCCTCTGAAGAGGCTCACTTTTTGTAGAAAGGGAACTTCTATGCACCACCCTCGTTCTGCCCCTTGATAAGCTCTTTGATAGTTCTGAACTAGGAACTGTCAGCTTAAAGTTAGTTTTATTAACCTCCAGATCTGCACTGCCAGACGAACCTGGAATAGAGCAAAACCCCTTATATTGTTTTCTGACACAG